TGTGCACACACACACACACACACACACACACACACACAGGCACACACACCTATTCTGCATGCCCAAGCTCAGTTCCACCCCATTTACAGAGTCAATCTTTAAAAGACAGTTGAAAGAGGCTTATAAGGACATGAGGTGCAGGCTCGGGACCACTTAGCAGGGAGCTACCAGTTCTGAGCAGACAAAGTGTGAGGAAAGGGAGCTGTGCCCTCCTATGTTCTCCTCCTATTGCTGGGAGAAAAGCAACTTGAAGAAGGAAGGGTTTGTGGGTACAGTCCATAGTGGCAATGGAGGCGGGGTGTCAGAAGCATGAGAGGAGTGGTCCCACTGAGTCCAGAGCAGGGAAGCAGAGCACAAAGATGCAGGTGCTTAGATCATATTCTCTTTTTTATTCAGTCCGGTACCCAGCCCATGGGATGGTGTTACCCAAACTGCTGATGGATTTTTCCCTCCTCATTTAAGCCAATCTAGACACATGCAGGTGATTTCAAATCCAGACACACTGACAATAGAGATTAACATCACAGACCTTAAGGGCTTTGTCTTCTTGGGTCCTTTCCCTTTGGGGATAGTAATGGCAGAGAAGGGGACAGCAAGTAGAGTCTCCCTGGTCACACCATCAGCAACAACCTCACCAGCTTCTCACCAAAGCATGCCCAGTGCCATCCAAGGCAGCAGAGACATCCCTCAGATTGGCTTCCTGCCTGGACCTTGCTGTGGACCTCTGGCTATGTCCCTTCTTTCTTTTCTTTTTTTTTTTTTTTGGAGGGGTTGAGGGTAGGACAGTTTCAAGACAGGGTTTCTCTATTTATCTCTGACCATCCTGAAACTCACTCTGTAGACTAGACTGGCTTTGAACTCAGAGATCTACCTGCCTCTGCCTCCTGAATGCTGGGATTAAAGGCATATGCCACCACCACCTGGCTCTGGGGCTATGTCTTTAGCAACTCCACCAGAAACACAGAGACACCCAAACCCAAAGGCCTTGTGGAAAGAAACAACAGTGGACAAACAGGAGGAGACCTATGAGAAGCTCAGAACTATGAGAGCTGGGATTCCTCAGCTAGGACCCATTGTTAAGCGCACACACACACACACACCATCACCACCAGATTTAATGGTGCTATTCTGCTGTGCTTTTCACAGTGTTGAGGCTCTTAATAGGCTCCCCTGGTGGGCCACTCAGGGCCCACGCTGCCTCAGAGCAGCTGCTGTGCTGAGCCTAGGAGCACAAGAGATTCTTTGCAAACCACCCTGCCCATGGCTTTCTCAGGGAGCCATCACAGCACGTCCTGGAACAGGCATCCAAGGAAGCAGCACAGTTGATTGTAATTCGTCAACTTCACAGCTGCTGCCTGGATGAGAAGAAGCTGCAGAAGCCAGTGCCAAGCCACTCAGGAATCTCAGGAGCATCCTCCAGGCTTGGGTGGGGGTGATCCCAACAGTGTGGGCAGGGGCTCCACATGCCTGGCAGAGGACTGGAGGTGTCCAGAGGAGGTCAGCCATTTTCCCGGACCTCTGTTGACCTTGAGAGACAGCTGCCAACTAGAATACTCAAGGAGAGATCAGATCTTCAGGGTGATGCAGACTGGACCATCCCCCACCCCAATTCCTGCACTAGCCACTATTGTGTGATCTTCATAAATGCCTCTGCTTGCCCATCTGTAGAATGGAGAGGAAAGTACTTCCTACACTCGGGGCTGTGCCAGTTATCAGAATACTAAAAAGTTAGTTAAGGGTTGTGGGTTCCAGTTCAGGATCATCAGCATCACTTGGGACTTGTGAGAAATTTACACCCAGGCTTACCCAGTCAGGAACTCTGGCTACTGGACCCAGTAATCAATTCTCACACATTTCCCAAGCCGTGAGAACCCTGGATCAAGCTGTGAACCAGTGGACTCCTCACCTTTCAACCCAGAAATACCCAGATTGTCTAGTAACCCAGCAGCTAAAGGGTCAGCACCTGGCATAAAAGAGGCCTCCAGTCTCCTGCCTCCGTTCTGTGTGATCAGTGCCCATGTCATGCCAGTTTAACATTTTCACTATAAGCTTTATTGTGGTCAGCATTTGGTGGCAGAACATCTGGTTTAAGAAAGATGATGCTCTGACATTATTTGAAGGCTTCTTACTGTTCTTTAAAACCACTGGATACATGGCACTGAGCACAGCTCTGCCTTCCTTCTGCTGCAGAGAACTGTCAACTTCTAAGTGGTCAGCAGACTATCACTGGCCCTGACACACCTAGAAACAGCATAACAACTGTTTCCCACCCTGCCTACCTTGTTCCTAAAGAGAAACGTCAGCCTTGACAGGTTAGTTTATTAGGAACTTGTCTCATTGCAGTAAAACACCCAGCAAAAGCAGCATAAGGAATGAAGGGTTTACTCTGGCTCACAGTTCCAGAGGACACAGTCCATCACGGCAGAGAAAGCACAGCTGCAGGAAGCAGTGAGAAGCTACTTGTGCTCAATTTCTTTGCTCCTTTTTATTCAATCTGGGAGGAGGGGGTCTCAGCCAACCTAACTGAGATAGTCCCTCTCGGCTTTGCCCAGAGAGTTTTTTTCATGGTGATCCTGACCCATAGTTGACAATGAAGATTAGCTGCCTTGGTTGGAGTCCTCTTGTTCTGCTGTGTTATGACTGCATCTTGGTTAGCTGTAGTTTATAAACGGGATGTTAAAGCAGTTTCAGGTTGAGAGCAAAACTGAGCAGAAAGTATAGAAAGTGCTGTGTACTTCCCACTCCACATAAGCAGTCTCCCTCTCTATCAGCATCCTTCACTGGAGTAGGAACACTTGCTTCAACCAGGCTTCTACCCTGCCATCTCGTTACCACCAAGATTCCACAGTCGGCACTAGGGTTCACTCTTGGAGTGATAAAACTGTGAGTCTGAGCAAATGTGCCATGGCAGTGCACCATAGAGAGCCATTTCGCTGCCCTAAATGCCTGCTAATCTCTGCATATTCTCCCAACCACTGATGACTGCTCCTGTTTTTACTTTTGCAGCCTTTACAGGTTGACTCCTTTCACTCAGTAATTTGCATCCACATGTCCTCCATATTGTTTCATGGCTTATAGAAGCACTGAATAACACTCCAATGCCCAGAAGTGTCCAGCTTCTCCATTCACCTAATAGAGAACATTTGGTTGTTTCCAAGTGTGCGCAGTTATGAAAAAAGCTACTGTCAACACTCACATGCAATTTTTTGTGGTCATGCATTTCAACTAATTTGAGTAAAGGCCAAGGGGTGAGCAATGACTGGGTTATACAAGGGTATGCTTCCTTTTGTAAGAAACTGCCATGTCATCTTGCAAAGGGGCCAGATCACTTGGTGCTTCCTACAGAAGTATTTCTATTGCTCCACAACTTCGCCAGCATTTGGTGCTGTCTGTCTATTTGGGCCATTCCAATAAGTACATGGTATATCTTGCTTTACTTTGCAATTCTCTAGTGATATATAAGATTGAGCATTTTCCCCCATGTTTAACTGACATCTAGATGTTTGATGAGACCTCTATTCAGATCATTAGTCTATTTTTAACCTGTTCATTTCTTTATTGTTGAATTTTAAGAGCTCTTTGTATATGTTAGTAACTATCCTTTATCAGAAATGTCTTTTGCAAATATTTTCTCCTAGTCGGTGAACTGCCTTCTCAATTTCTTAAGGCTGGTTGCTTTGTTTTTAATGCTTTGTTTTGTTTCTCTTTTTTCTCATTAGTATATGGAAGAGAGTTCAGCCCCTCTGTCCTCTTGTGGTGGTTTGAATAAAAATGGACCCCAAGGCCCATAGGGAGTGGTACTATTAGGAGGTGTGGCCACACTGAGGTAGGTGTGGCCTCGTTGGAGGAAATGTGTCATTGCAGGTTTTGAGATCTCAGATACTCAAGCCAGGTTCAGTGTGGTATTCTCTTCCTGTTGCCTGAAAATCAGATGTAGAGCTCTCAGCTCCTTCTCCAGCACCATGTCTGCCTGCACACCACCATGCTTCCTGCCATAATGATTGTGGACTAAACCTTTGAAATCGCAAGCCAGCCCCAACTAAATGTTTTCCTTTATAAGAGTTTCTGTGGTCATGGTGTCTCTCCACTGAAATAAACTGACAAAGATTAAAAAGAAGAAAAATGATTCAAGGTTAATAATATACAAAAGGGGGAAAACACAGCAGGGGGATCACAGAAATAAGATTACCTCTTCTCTTTATTTAAAAACTTAAATATCCTTTTTCTATAAGGGAAGCAGGAAATAGTGTAAACAATTTTAAGAGCTTGAAAATGGTGGTTAGGGGAAGTGAATGGACTCTGAGGTGGTCTCTGGAGTTTGAATGAGCCCAAGCAACAAACATTATCTTGGAGGGAAGTCTATCCTAGAGTGGGTAAGTTACCTGGCCTCCTTTACAAAGAAAGACCTGAAATGGGTGGACGGTGTCTACTCTGAATCCAGATAGGAAATTCCTAAGTCTCTCCCTATCTTGAGGTCAGAGGAATAAGAATGTTTTAAAGGTCGTTTAATTTTCTTTTTATCAGATTGCTCAGCATTGCAAGAAATGCCATATTTTCTGGGCAGTGTTCTCTGAGCCCCAACAGCAAAGATACAAAGTGGGGGGGAGAAAGAATGTATAGGGAGAAGCTCTAAAATGCTCTGTTCTGAAAGTCTCCAGGCTCCTGTCCTCAGACCCACCCATCCCCAGAGACAAGGTTCTACCTTCAGATAGGAATCCCACCACCACCATCGGCAGCCAAACGTCCCAGAGCAAGCTCCTGCTCCAACTGGCAAATGGACACACTTTGGGACCAACGGTCTCTCTGAAAATCTGATCAGAGCATAAAATTCACATACATACATAATACATGCTTTTACATACTATCTTAGGGTACTTTCAGACTCCCTGAGGTCCATTCAACATTTAGTGACCATATTAAAAGGTCTTACTAGAGGAAGGAAAAAAAAAAACAAACCAACAGTTGAGCTGCTAAAAGACAGCCTGGCAGAGTACCAAAGATTAAAGTGTAAGCCATTCTCCTTTAATGAAAATGTCCCAAATTGCCCTAAATTCATGGTCCATATCCTCAAAGCCCCCAAGGCCATTTCCTGGCCAGTCTCTTGCTCTTTTGAAATCTGTAAGAGAAAAAAGAAAAAGAAAAAGCTTTGAAAGGTCATCCAGCCCTGATGGTACTACCTCATATAACCCCAAACCAAACAGAATGCACAGTCTACCAGCACCGCATCATGTGACATCCACTCCTCCTACCCCGCCCTCCAGGGTCTTACCACAGCTCTCCTCTGCTCCAAAGGTTCCATCTGGTGGGCATGCTGCATTAGGTTTTGCTGGTCCACAAAGGCAATTGGAATCTGGGTAAATCAAATGAGGAACCAACATTGCAAACTTTAAGGGACTACCAAGAAGTGTAACAGTAGAGACCCCTTCTCCAGATAACCTCTGACCTTCCTTCCCTTTGCCTAGCATTCTAAATTCTTAAGAAAAAAATCACAATGAAATGATTAAGACATTGCTAAATAATCTTTCTTTAGTTGGAAAAACAAAGCAAAACCTGGTGCCTTCAGAAAGTATCAGCATATGTGGCAATCCACCCATACCCAGGTCTAAGTCTATGCATCAGCCAACACAAAGTACATAAATTGATGTCAGGTTGAACTTACAGAAAAGTAGTATGCTTGTCTAAAGAATTACAGTAATGGGGCTGGAGAGGTGCCCCCCCCCAGTGAATGACACTTGTTGCTCTTACAGAGGATCTTGTTTGAGTCCCAGGCCCTATACGGTGGCTCACAACCATCTGCAACTCTAGTTCTAGGGGACATCACATGCTCTTCTGCCATCCACAGGCACCAGGCATGCATGTAGTGTAACAGGCCCCTAGATTTTAGCACAACTGACACCATGTTAGAGCCACCATTCTAACCTTAAACCCTAGCATGTAGGTCCCAACACCTACCAAACAGGAGCAAAGATGTAACCCATCCTGGTCCACAGCCCCAGGAAAATCCCTAAATGTACTAACCTTGCTTTCTGGTTCCTGCGTTCTACTTCTTGCTAACCACATCCAGGGAGTGGGCTTTCTGCACAAAAGACAGAGGGCAATAAGGTTCAGGGCTGCATGATGTGGGCAAGTTCCTGTGCAGTCGCTGGCTGGCAAGAAAGACTTTCTTTTTGGCTTTAAGAGTGCCCATGTAAGCTGGGCGTTTGTGGCACACACCTTTAATCCCAGAACTCGGGAGGCAGAGGCAGGCAGATTTCTGTGAGTTTGAGACCAGCCTGGTCTACAAGAGCAAGTTCCAGGAGAGCCTCCAAAGCCACAGAGAAACCCTGTCTGGGAGGGGGGGAGAGTGCCCATGTAGCTGGACAGTGGTGGCGCATGCCTTTAAATCCCCGCACTCAGGAGGCAGAGGCAGGTGGATCTCAGTGAGTCTGAGGCCAGCCTAGTCTACAGGGTGAGTTCTAGGACTTCCAGGATTGTTACATAGAGAAACTGTCTCAAAAAAAAAAAGAGTGTCCACGTGGAAGTCTCTGGTGGACTTACCTCACAACATTTGTGCACATGGATACAGGCATAAAAAAAAACATGGGTTTTTAAATAAAGATTGTAGTAACTAGTGCTGGAGACATAGCTCAAGCAGGCAGCCCTTGCCTAGTATTTACAAGGCCCTGGGTTCAGTTCCCAGGGCTGCAAAGAAACAATATTATGAAAGAACTATTGGAACCAGAACCAGAAGTCAAGGCTAGCTGCAATGCTCTGTCCAGAGGTAAACTTAAAAAGACAATACAGGCCTTGGATGCTGAAGACCCACCTAGAGCAAATCATCCCACACACTGCCACCTAGGCCTCCTTTCCTGATCTGCAGAAGGCTTATGCCTGGTTTCCTCAGATGGACTTTGCAGAATGGTGGCAATACTCCCTTCATCTTCTCAGAGTACTGGCCCTTAAATAAATAGGATTTCTGTCCCACCAACCCTCAGCTCATGATTATTGGTTTTTGAGCAGTGAGCTCAAAACAGTGGGTCACAACAGAAATCCACCCAGGAGTTGTCTGGCTAGCGGCCTTACCAATTTATGGAACCGACTGTCAGGAGAGTGGAAAGACTGTAACCCAACCAAAACAAGATGGTTTGTAGAAATGACAACTACTTCAGACCAAACTCTCTGGCGTTTCACAAATCCCAGCCTCATGTCTGGTGTTCCTGAGAGGATAGGGAGAATAGATCTTCTCTCATACATGAAAGAGGTCACAGACCATTGCAGTCCCTCACACGGACAGAGCCCCGGAGAAGCTGGCCTGGGGCTGCGTGTAAAGTTAAGGGTCTTTTCCCATGACACTCTGGGTGGATGTGCCATCATGTCTGCTGAGCCAGCTCATTCGTTAAGTTGAAATGGAGGGAGCTGCTCCTTAAGAGCCAATTGGCAGTCAGGCCTGATCCTCATACAGAGTATTCTGAGCAGTTTCTGTCCTGAACTCTCCAGAGCCCTTCCTACAGCTCTGCATTCTTACCACCCCCTTCCCATTAGAGTAGATTCTACTGCCCAGCAAGCCGCAGCTCTTGGCTTCCTTCTGCCGTTCCCGTTGTCTGTCAGCTGTCTAAGGCTTCCCTAGTATTTCCAGGAGTAGGAAATGCCAGTTCAGTAGAGGAGGGGTAGAGATCACCCTCCCTGCCTGCTGGCCCACCCTCTGGCTATGATGGCAGGGAAGCTGGGAGGGGAGTGTGATGGAGCAGCCAGTAACTGATAACGGCAGGGAGAGGCACATCCACAGTTACTCAGGTGTGAAGCTGGTGAGCCCAGGAAGCTAAATAGGGTGTGAAATGCCTCCTTAATGTCTTTTCCGATGTGGAAGTCTTTACACACTGCCAGTCTAGGCAATCAGGAGCCAGAAGAGATGGGGTCTGCATATTCACTTTAGGATGTACTATCTCCATCTGTGGGCCATACTCCTCTCTGATCTCCTCTTCTCTGCCTTTTTCCAAACTTACCTGTCACAACTGCTCTGTTAGGCCTTGGGAAAGACTGATGCTGAGGCCATGGAAATAGGTAGGGGACCAGGGATGGGGGAGGACTAGAAATTGAAGAAAATTTTTCCTACCTATTTCTCTTAAGGAAGGTAGTTTTCAGATCTAGTAAACTTACTATAAAAATAAAATGCCCTACAGAGAATGGAGAGCCTGTATATAATGTAAAGTCCTCAAGAAAAAGACTTTTGAAGACCTTAGGAAAAGGCTGGAGATGTAGGAGTCAGCCATGTAACTTCATGACACAATGCAACTTCCGCACTCAGTAGGCATCACAAAAAATGTTTTGCCTTTTTGGACCTCAGGTACATGGCAGATTCACTAAACCTCTTCACTAGACCACTGGGCTAAGTATTGGAGATCAAATTAATAATTGCCACATTAACTATGTTTCTTATGTATAACCGGGCATGGCCAAGGCATCCTAAGAACTTTATCACACTGAACTCTTACAGTCGATCCATCAGGTAGATGCTGTCAGTATCATGTTAATTAAGCAAGAGCTTCATAGTCTACCTCTGAAAAGCAGTGGGGCAGAATTTAGACCTACAGGTCAAGTCCACATTCTTAACCATGCAGAAGGGTGAATCACGGCCCTCTTCAAATGTATTTCTTTGGCATATTTTGATTTGGTTGCTCAGAGAAATGGCAGGCCACAGGAGTGGCCATGAAAGTCTGCCTCTGTGAAAGAACATGCCATCTATGAAGGACATTTGTGAAGGAAGCAGCCAGGGAATGTAGCCAGGCTGTTCTAGCAGGCATCTTCCTTCCCTCGTGGAAAGGAGCTTTCCCCAGGAAGAAAACAACAGAGTGAGGCATCTTCACAAGTGAGGATGGTCATGAGCAGCGGGGACAGGACGGCACGTAGTGCTCGCAGTGTTCCTCAACTTGACCTTTTGTGTCTCATTCCTCCCCTAAATAAAGCTCATGCCCTACCCCTTTCTTTGTCTGCCACTATATAAACTTCAGCTGTCTGGCCTTCATTTGAGTCTTGTGCTTTGTATATGGCTCTTGTATTTTTTACATGTTAACAAACTTGTCATGTTTTCCCATTAATATGTCAACTGTCCATTTATTTATAGACAAAAATGATTAAATTCTCAAAGGCAAGGAATAATCTTAACATTTTCCTACACCAGACTAGGGAGATGGCTCAGTGGGTAAAGTCCTTACCGTGCAAGCATGAGGACCTGAGTTCAGAGCCCCCACACTCATAAAAATGCGGGGTCCTGAGGTGCACATCTGTAACCCCAGCCCTGGGGGAGGTGGCAGAGCTAGGAGGTTCCTGAAGGCTCTCTGGCTCATCGGTCTAGCTCAAACAGCAAGCTCTAGATTCAGTGAGAAGCTATCTCAAAATCAAAATAAGGTGATGAGTGACAGAAGCCACCAAGCCCTTGCCTCCACATGCCCGTCGCACACTGCACACGCATGCGAGCAGACACACACAGTCTTTAAGTTTAAATTTTTCCCTAAACTACTACTATATACTGCTTCTCAAGACAGAAAGGAAGAAAGAAGGAAAGAAGGGAGGAAGAGAGGGAGTGAGGAAGAGAGAGGAGAGAGACAGAGAGAAATCTCTCTCTAATGGCCCTCACATTCCAAATTTGACCCAACACCTGTTTTTGTAAGTAAAGCTTTATTGAGGGCTGAGACAATGGGCATAGACCGTAAGTTTTTGCCTCACAAGAATAGGGGTCTATATGTAGAACCCGGCAGCTGCATAAAAAGCCTGACACATAGGGCCAGCAATGGTGCCATTCAGGTCAGGGCTGCTGTTGAAGGTCATGTCTGGGTCCATGGCACTACTGTAGCCTGTGTTTATGTTCGAGGCTCCTGTTACCATCAAAGACCACACTGATGCCAGGGGCCTGGGCTGCCACCTGGGGTCATGTTGGTGTCCAAGGGCCACTCTATTGTGGGAGCTCTGCAAATCTGAGTGGCCTGCACTGATGCCTGGGGCCAAGGTGACATCTGAGCCCAGGCTGCTGCAGGAGACCATGGGTGGGACTGAGGTTCTACCACAATCAGGGTCTGTGATATCTGTGGCCTGTGGTGCCACCAAAGGCCACACAGATGCTCTGCTCGGGGGTCTAGGCCACAACCTGTGGCCATGTTGGTGTCCAAGGGCTGTGCCACTACCAGGGCCATGATGATCTGGATGGCTTGCACTGCCACAAGGGGCCATGGTACCATCCACTGCCATGGGTCATGTCTGGGTCCCTGGCCCAGAAACAGCTAGGGTCTAGGTTGATGCCCATGGCTCTTGTTGTCACTGGAGGTTGAGCAGATGTCTGAGGTCTAAATAGCCACCTGAGACTCTGTTGGTGTCCAAGGACCTTGCTGCTGCTGTGGCCATACTGATCTGGGTGACCTGTGCTGCCACTGGGGCCATGGTGATATCTAGGATTGAGATGCAGCTGAGGGCATGTCTGGGTCCATGTTCCTGCTGTAGCTGGGGTCTGTGGTGATGTCTGCAGCCAGTGTTTCCACAGGGAGTAATAAGAACGATGCCTGTCAATATCCACCCACATCCTGGGCCTTGGGTTGGCCCACGCTAACATCTATGACCTGCTGGAGTGTGTGAAAGGACTGGTCCTATAGAACCATAACCGCAGGATCTCCATGACTCGGGGCAACAACAGGATATCCCAAGAGGAGTTCCTGTGAAGGTCCAGTGATGATGGTGTGCCAGAGGCCTTGAACCAGACTAATGACTCATTGCAATGAACATTTTGGGGGTGACTGATTGGAAAAAAAAGGGGTATACTGCATGTCACACTGCAGTTCCCAAAGCCACCAGGATGAAGAGTGTTGGAAAGAGGGAGAATTGAAGTGGTTTTCATTTTGTTTGTTTTATTTTTAATCAATTTGGGGAGGCATGCTGCAGGGGTAAGGGGGAGATATAGAGGGACTGGGGGTGAGCGGGATTAAGGTGCATGATGTGAAATTCACAAAGAATCAATAAAGAATTATGTTTTTAAAAAAACAGACACAGAAGTACACAGCTGTGCTGGGGGAAGCAACAACAGGAAGATCACTGGGACTCACTCACTGGCTG